AAAAGTTACGCCATATCCTACGAGGTTTGCTTCATCGAATCTTCACTTGGACTCCTTTGGAGGGCTGATGCAAAAATTTGAAAAATCGTGAAACTTGAGCATCTCAAAAAGCAGGGATCGCAGACTTTCGTAGCTTTTCAATAGCTCATTATCTTTGCTGCAACAATTTTATAACCATTAGAAAGAGGATGAAATTTTGCATCGAATGCTGTCAAGATCTCCTAAAAGTCTTTGTTCCATCACATGTGGCGTCCGTTTGAAAAAAGTGAAATTACTTTCGGAATGACCTAATATAAGCATTTTCTGAGAAAAAATAAAGTTGTTCCCAACCAGAAAGCAAATAAAGTTTATACCTTTTTTCGGGTGATTTTCTAGATAGCGAAGAAAGAGACCAATTTGCGCACTTATGATAGCCACTATGATGAGTGGCCAAGACAGCAGATACCATACCACGAAATCGCTCCTGAAAAAGTATAGTTCATTCTAATGGTAAGTCTACCAAAGTTAATGTATGCTATTACCGATGAAGTGCTGCTGAAAGAAGGAAAATCTTTTCGAGGTTTTCGAATGCGATCAGACAGGCTATGCATAGTGCAAGCATCGAGACGGCCGCGAATACTATCCTGAAAATATATAACGACTGCACAGGTCCGCAGACGAATAAAAAAAATTTTTACCAGTAAGGACTAAGGCGACTTATTATTTTTGACTGCTTCAACTTCTTTCTTTGCTTCATCTGTTGTTAAAATAATTAATCACAACAGCCGGATAAAGATCAAATATTCTGGAGTAAAGATATAACATCACTATGGTTCACAAACATGCACGGTTCCAAGAAGAGTATGAGAAACAGGTACAGATGTAGAGAAAGCTCTGAAGAAGGCGCTTAAGCCAAAGTACGTAAGGTGTATCCTTACTTTTGTTATACAGTTTGTCCCAATAGTAAGTGCACACTTAATAATTCTCCCCTCACAAAGTTTTTTGCTTAGCTTAAAGCACCATTTAGTAGAGTAGGCTTCAACTTAGATTCACAGCATGGAACGAATCACTCATCGTTCTTCATTACTATGGGATTAAGGCAGGAACTTCCATCATACAGTGCTATTGTGGAAAAAAACATTTAAGAAAAAGTTCCGAAAAGAATTGGAAAATTGTGTAGCAGTGTTTTCAGACATGCTTTTCCAGAGGACAACTTTTTACTAGTTTTTGAAGAAGTTAGAATGGTCAAATCATATTTTTAGAATTACTGAAAAAACCTCGTTGTCATTCGTACCATAACTTTGAAGAAAAAAGCTTTACTTATAATCAGCGATTCAGTTTAGCCTAGTGAGGAGGTTCTTGGCTCGTTGAGTATATATCCAGGGCATTATGTAGATATTAATGGCTCAAAACTCTCTTTAAAGTCCCCACCCTAATCCAACAGTATCAAAGAGCGATGAGTGGGCCCTCCAGACTGTAAAGCAAGATAGAATTGCTCTACCGAATGATACTTGAAATTGAGCAAAAGACTTCATAAGAAAAGACTGTGACCCACTTTGTTGTACCATCAAACCAATTTAACGGAAGCATGGGGCTAAAAGCAACCGCCTTTTTTGAGAAATTTTTAGATTTTCCACCATACAGTTTTCATTGTAGAGTACCAGTTGGTGCGTAGCTAACAGATAGGCTTGCTTTTCGGCAAAACACTTTGATTTTGGGAACTATTGAACTGGCTGACGTTATTCATAAACAGTAATACTAGGCAATCGCAAAAAAGAGAGGAGAATTATCTGTCAAGACATCTGGAAAAATGACAAAATTCCACATGGAGACGCTGCGGCATCGAATGTGCCATTCATTTTAGGCCCCGGACAGACTTCACGCGACTTAATCGTCGCGACCTAATCGCCAGGGTTTCCATTCATTTTCATTTCACATTCAAAAATTTCGGGCTGGAAAAGTATCACAACCGAATGCAAGTTGATCGACATGGAATGATGTGGTAACAGTTGTCTCGTCGCGATTCAGTCGCGACGATCAAATCGCGTGAAGTCTGCCCGGGGCCTTAGGGAGTTTTGAAGAAAATATGGGAAAAACAGAAGGGGCAAAATACTTCTGCAGATTCTACTGTGGCATTTTTTGTCAGATCGTAGAATCCGTAGCGTTGTTTGGACATGTGTAATAATTTATAGAGAAGTTTCTTGCAGGCAGAAGATGAAAGCAATATCTGTAATTCTGAATGTAGTGGAATCTCTGAAAGTTGATGAATAAGCAGCTTTTTTCGAAAAGGTTTTGTTTTTTTGTCTAGATGGAAAGTGCTTGAACAATTGGATTACCACAAGTAGCTGAACTTTGCCTTTGCTTTTCAGACATCGGATTTACTCAAGAATGAGCAGGTAGAACTTCAGTGGGTTTGATTACCTCTGAGGGAAAGTGTTGCGAAGAAACGTTCTTTGCATTCCAAGTCACTATTGGACCATAGAGGACAAGGAGTTGCCGTAGCGGCAGTGACCAGGCAAAACCTTCGCTTCCGGCTTCCAGCTTTTCTGAGCTAATGCGTTCGCTGTTTTCGAAACTATGATTAGAAAGACCGGAAATGGTGGGAACTTTCTTTTCCGGAGCTTTTCTTTTTGAGCGCGGACGAGTGGGCGGAGAGTCTGGGAGAATTGGAGAGCTAGTAGCTTATATGTAGCTTAACATTGGACTATGCAATGTGGGCACTCTAGCGATGGGAAGGGGACCTTTAGGTATTTGCCTGGACACTCTCAAACTACATCCGAGGAAGGATTGCTCAAATTGTCAGCAGAGTAACCACTCTTTTTCAGCGCCGTACTAAATGTTACCGCAGCTTTCGCAGAAGAAGTTTTTGTTGTAAATATCATTTGCCAGAAAGGAATACAAAAAACAAGCGAAAAAATAGAGATTGTATAGAGACAAATGAACATTTTGTCATGCATTCACTTCGCCATGGGTAAAGGTAGCAGGAAGCGGCATAGCTGACTCGGATTCAGCTGGATATCGTTTCTGGGGAAGAAAACAAGAATATCCTTCTTGCTTCCCCGAGGCAGATCCCCCTCCCTCCCTCTCTCTCCCCCCTCTCCGAACAAAACCTCATAGAAATAACATCCGAATCGAATATTAGGACGAGACTGTTTACCAGTATCCTACCGTGTCGAACAAATTAAAAAAGAGCCACTACCAACGCGCTGGGACAAGTCGAAGTCGAATACGCGCAAAATGCAAGTCATGTAAAAGTCTACTCACTGACTTCTAAGGAATTTTACTTATGGCATCGTGTTATGTATTTGCGCTCGCCACCCACCTCTTTAGTTTGCTACCGTGTCGCTTTAGCACTGAAGAGTCTTCAAAAGGCACAAAATCTAGAACTGGCGCCTTACGCACCATATCCCTTACAAATACGAATGATCTCACATAGTGCATTCAAAGCTGTGGTCCAAAAAACCGCTTTATATACAAAGAATACTCATAATATGACATTATTTGATTTTTTCGACAAATTCGACATTCTTCCAAATTCGCTTTACAATCTGCGTGTGGGAATTTGAACTGTGGACTATGTATTTCGTGTAAGCGCATTTACAACTTCGCTTCGTTCTGATAGTAGGCATGACGGGACTGATGACCTGATGCAAATTATCGATTCGGCTTGAATTTTCTATAGAAAACCTTTATTGTTGTTTTCGATCCCTGATTCTTTCAGGGAAAAGTTCAAAAATTCTACCACAACATATCATCTACCAAGAATTTTCTATTATCAGTAACGAACTTATTCTCCAATATGAGCAAATTTCCAGAGGCTCAGCTTTTTGATTTTCTAAGCTTCATTCTCATGTTGTGGTGGATTAGAGATATAAAGTGTTTAATACATTTAAGTATTCTCCATTTAGCGGATGAGAACAAGAATTGTGATCTGCCATTTACTCTTTGATTGAAAAAAAAGAATTTTTTTTACATTTGCACATAACGAGAAAATTACGGTATGTCTTTCTTTGCTCCTTTTCTTCATAGGGAAACAGATTACACAAAATCAAAATTCACATCTCATTTCTCATTGAAGCGCTTTTTCCAGAGCAACCGAACACTGGATAAAAATTTGCCTGCAGTGTTTGTGGGAGTCGGAGAACGACCGAAGTTGTTGTTTAGTCAGTTTAACAAGGACACAACAGTTCTGTATTTCTCGAGGCATCAACCAGAGACCACAAAGTCGTTGGCAGCTAAGAAACCTTTACAACTATTGAACTGGACAGGTTACAAGAGTTAGCGGTGGTGAAGATGTCGCGCTTTTTTGCTTTGGTAAAAATATCGGCATTATCATAGTCAGGTGCATTTTGTAACGTAAGTATATGTGTTCAACTTGTCATTTGAGAGTGATTTTTTGCTTTTATCTTCAAGCAGAATGCGAAAGCCATGTCGGATCGGATGCACACGACTAAAAAATTTGATATTTTTGCGTGCGAGGATTAGATGCCATGCTGACTGTAAATTTTCTTACAAATTCTTTGAAGATCGGATGCTGCGACGACGAGATACATCAAAAGACACGGCTAAAATTTCGGGTGAAGCATAGTAACAGTAGCAATATTGTGGATGTTTGTTATGAACCATACGCCAAATTGCCAAAGCCAAAATTCTGCTTTGGCTACACTCCTTCAACTTTCAGTGTCGTAACGGTTCTAAAGCAACATTTAATATTTACTGGTGAGAATGTCTTTTGTCTTGTATCTCACCTTACCAAACTATCCTCTTGCCAGACTTCGTTATCAGCATTTCGATCAGACCTGGATCCAATTTATGTTAATAGTATGCTGAGGCTGCTTCCTGCAGCACTTTTAAACGGAATGATGAAATTCATTTTGGTCATAGATGCCATTTTGAGTTACTGAGAAAACTGCAGTACAAACTTTAAAAAAATTTGTACACAGACAGGAATGCAAAAAATATTAATTACTGCTAGTTATGGATTTTGGAAGATAAAGTAAGCAGTAACAGAGAAATAATATCTAAGTTTTTTGAGATGCATCTTCGACAACGTCTTTCTTGGGGGTGGAGGAAACAGCAGTATGGATATCACCCTCGGTGGATGCCGTCTGTTCTTCAGAGACAACCTTTTCAGCAACGTCTAACTCGGCAGGTTTTGGAGGTGCGGAGGGGCTAAAAAGAGTTTTCTTAGATAAAGTGAGATAATTCACATCTAAAAAACCCTGCCCAGGTGATTAGCCCGTGCTGTCTTTACGTCTTCTTCCGACTGTTCTGTCATCCCAGGTGATGTAGCTCGTGCACTCTTTACGTCTTCCGACTGTTCTATCATCTTGCCCTGTTCCTCGGCTTTCTAGATAAAAGATTTCATGGTCCGAATTATCTTATTGTTTTCACACTCACCTTCACCTTTTTGATAATGGCGACACTGACGTCTGCATCTGTAGGAGGTGCTGAACCTTCCGAAAAACTCCTCGCATGAGGTCTAACCAGCATTGGATCATCTTAAATTTTGTGAGCATTATAATGACAAAAAAGTTTAGCACTTGCTTAGTCTAAAAGAGGGGGAACTGAGTAAATTATTTGAAAGAGGCCTTCTTAGTCCGCATCTGTCATTTTGACAAGGTGGCTTGATTACAATCAAACCAACATTGATCAGTGTTTGGACCATTGACACTATCTCTATTGAGAGTAGTGCATTGATTAATAGACATGGAAGCCAGTTCATTCGCCAACCTCCCTTTCTAAATCTCTTTCAAACTACTTACAAAGTGTTGACCTAGAAGCTTATGTTGTAGAAGGTATCCCAACGAACTGTACAAAATTTTATCTTAATATTAGGTTGATGCATAATTCCTGCATCAAAATAGGTACAGACCGCAATAATCTCTCTATATATAAAGCAGAAAATCTATGAGTTTATTTGTGCACTTTCGGGTGCAGGTTGTGCAGGGTGTGTAGGTTGTGCAGGGCGCGCAGGGTGTGCAAAGTGTGCAGGGTGTGCAGGGTGTGCAAAGTGTGCAGGATGTGCAGGGTTTGCAGGGTGGGGAGGGGGTAAGTGAACATGCTGATTCGAACACATTATTGTCAGGACCGGGCGGAGCCGGGTTTGCCAGCTCGTCCGCGATAATCCTATATCCCAAATAGGATTCGATCTATCATTAGAAAGAGCAAACCTAACTCTACAAGACAGTGCTTAAAGATTTGCAGCAGCTTTGATTCAAGCGAAATTTGAGCCGAAAACTGAAAAAAAAACCATGCGTTCGAAAACCTTAAGACCAATCAAAACAAAATTGCATCTTGTTCAAAAAGCTCCTGCAAAATTTCTTTCTCGCTCACGCGTAGACATTCCACGTAAGACATTTATCTATGCGGTTGCTGTATTTTTTTCTCAGCTAGACGATGAGAAAACGAAGTTTTTCATGTTTTTTCTAAAACAATGCTGAGATGTTCTAGCACCGACCATTGTGTACTACAGGACCTTAGAAGCACGAGTGTAAATTTTCAGCTCTTTACAGCAGCTGGTTTACGAGAAATATCGAATTTTAAGCAACTAGGCAAGAAAAATTTGGATAAGGAGAGCTAGATTCGATATTTCTCTGAACTAGCTATTCTAGAAGGCTGAAAATGTAAAGTTTCACTGCTAATGGCATGCACTATACAACTGTTACTGCTAGAACATCTCAGCACTAACTTGGCAAGAACATAAAAAACTTCGTGTTCTCATTGTCTAGCTGAGAAAAAAATACAGCAACCGCATAGATAAATGTTACGTGGAATGACTACGCGTTAGCAAGAGAGAAATTTTGCAGGAGCTTTTTAGACGAAGTTACAATTTTGTTCTGATTGGTCTTAAGGTTTTCGAACGCATGGTTTTTTTCAGTTTTCTGCTCAAAACTTCGCGTGAAACAAAGCTGTCGTAAATATTTGAGTATTGTCTTGTAAAGCTATGTTTGCTCTACCTAATGATATATCGGATCCTATTTGCGATATAGGATTATTGCGGTATGTACCCACTTTGGTGCAAGAATTATGCATCAACCCAATAGTTCCCTTGTCCTGGAATTTTTCGCATAATTCGGTAGGCCCTGCTTTGAAGAGTCGACCAAAACTAATATTAGGTCATTCGGAATTTTTTTTTTGTTGTCATACTTTAAAAAGGTGCAAAACGGCTGATAAGGGTTGCTATATATGGATCCGCAGAGGAAATCTTCGTTTCTGAGGACCCCACCGAAACTGTAGAAAACGCATTGTAGGGAAGTTTATGCGGCTTCAATTTCGACACACGAAAAAGCGATTTTCTAATAATTGCATTCTCTAAGCTCAAACATGAATTTGAAGCAGTTGAGGAAGCCATCATTGTGCGCAATGCATTTGCCAAGGCTGTGAATTTCTTAAAAATAGTGCAAGTATGCTTTGAAAAGTTTAGACTTCGGAATTGAAAGCTAAAATTTTGCGATGTTCTAGAAGGTGTCCTGCCATATAAGCGCGCATCTCAGAGGGTCCTTTGGAGCAAATCGCAAAAATAGCTGCATCTACTAGCAGGCCTTCGACCATATAGCCCAATTAGAAGCCACTCTCGCTAAAGCTACGATGCCGAAAATTCTCAGCGATATATACCCCACAAAATTTCGCACTCGTAGATTGAGGGCGCAATGACTCTGCTTTCGTTATTTTGATGAAGCAATCGTTTTTTAGCCTAGATAGCCTGATACTTACAGCAAAAATTGAGCCAAGTACGGCCATAAAAAGCGACATTGTGATAAATCATTTGGAATCATTGATAGCAGGTCATCATTGATAAATCGAATTGATAATAATTGAAAGCACGATCATAAACGATCAGTCATTCCAGAAAGGTGAAGATCAAGCCAATGTAATCTTACTGCTCTTGCACGTATAAACCTGCTAAGGCCATCATAACTTATAATAAAGCGCCTAGCGTCTGTCTTTTTGTCCGTGTTTGTGTGTGTCTGTCTGTCACGGAATTCGTGGAGGGAGATGCTTCTAAGCTAACGAACTACAATTTTGCATTCTACACCGTACCAGCACGTAGGCCCACCATGCACGAGGACGAGCCAGTTCGATAAGCGGGTCCTTCAAAATTTGCACCTCAAACGGATCCAGGCGGCTTTTGGCAACAAAACTAGGTCGCTAATTCGACTTTTTGCAAAGTCATAATTTGCCTGAGAAGTAAATCTGTGCTCCAAGAATTCTAGCTCAAAAAGTGCCTAAAAAGTTAACTTTTCTATGGAAACAGCGTCAAAAACTAGTGATCGCGTAGAAAGTCGATTTGGCAAGGTTTTACCCAAAAACTGAAAGGAGTTTGGCACGGAAACGTAGCACAGAATGACTTTTATTTTTATGGCGATTATCAAGCCAAAATAAATTCAGTATTCTATTCGAATTCGCATTTGTTCCTTGGCAAAAAAGTTTTCTTTCTCAAAATTACCGATCTTACATGGAGATGCTCCGAGAATGAATAGCTGTTTGATTCATTGGCGATGTACAGTCTCGCGCGGTGAGTTTCAAAGTCATCATTATGGGAGCAGAGACATACGGATAGCAGAGCTAAATACCTCCGAACCTCCGCGAAGCGGAGGAGAGCCACTGGTGTGATATATTGTCAGCAGAGCAGTATGATATCGCTCTGAAGACCGAATTCCAAAATTTTTAGACTGAGCAGACTTGCACGCATAACCTCTGGAAGGTGCCATTCTGGCCCATGATGCCTTCAAACCACATGTAAGGAAGGTGGCTCTCAGAAAAGAGGTTGAGGCGCATCGAGGTTTCTGTTTATTTTTTGAGCTCTTTAGACCGTCCTTTACAAAACACCACTTTTTCTAATTCCTTGGTGAGTATCAAAAAATGATAGGGCCCAATGAAAATTATCTAGTCAAAAACCCTTTTTAGGCTTCGATGACTCCTCTGAAGTTATTTTGCAAGAAAAAAGGGCAGGAAAACCAGATTAGTGTTGCCAAAAGTTTTCTGAACACAATGAAATTTATTTGGTGGAATAAGGTTGGACATGGAAGAAGTTATGCTCGTTTAAATTTGATGGTACTAATACGAAAAACTTTTCGAATGACCTAATACCGAATAGTAAAGAATAATCATGAACTCGTCAATCTTACTCAAAGATTACTGCAATAACGTTGAGCAAGATGTTCCCACTGCAAACTACTTTCGTAGAAAAATATTCAAGATATCTAAAGACTTAGTAAGGTAATAAACTCGCTTCTCAACAGATAAGATTGTATATTTTGTGAAACTAATTAGATACTGCAAATAGCGACATGTCTCACGCAGAGAGAAGCTGTAAAATCTCAATAAGGTATAAAAACAAACGTTTCCTTTTCTTGTAATCTTCAGTCAATGTCTTCATTATGTTAAAGGCACTATCAATTGTTTCCTTCGTCGTTCTTTCATAACCAACTGAGACACGAATGATGAAGTTTCGAGCAAGCTGAAAGGTTTGCTCATGACATTCAGCAAAGCAAGTGTCTTTTTGGTTAGCTAAGCATATGGGATTTTCGCAGTAAAATTTCTTAGAAATCAGAAGTAACTCGACTGTGTCTCACATTGAATTATAGAGACTCATTTGTGTATGAGGCTACTACTTTGGGATAAGAATACATTATACTAAAGTAACAGGGCCCGGCATGATTTCGTTTCTTCCCTACTTGAAAACGAGGTCCCCTACGATTTTCGCAAAATTTCACGAAGTCCCCTACAATTTTCGCAAAATTTTACGAAGTCCCCTAAACGTGAAAAAAGCTCAAAAAAAAGAGAAACGTCGACTACAAAAACGTCGCAAACTTTGGCCACAAAACGATACCCCTTTGCTTTTCGCCCCAAAAACGAAGTCCAGCCTGCTTCCATACGATCTGTGTCGGGCCCTGTGAAATAATCAAGTTGTCACGAACTTTTGCTGCGCAGTGCGATATGCTTTTGGAGCAGCGGTCTACAAGCGATGGACAGGGTTAACGGCAGCGTCCGGGCAAAATTTTGAACAAATCTTTTCCGTTTACTGAGCTTATTCTTTCCGCTGATTTCGAGCTTGCAAAGTATGAAAATGTCGAAAACGGGCTATTCAGCTGTTGATTTTGAATATGGAAGCTTGCCGCCGAGGTTAAGACGCAGAGTCGTGGTGGGACACTACGTTTTAACTGTGTGCGATATACGTATTCTGGCTATTGACTGAAGGTCGGGAGGTCGCCTTCTTAAGCGGTTTTTCGCTTCAGAAGCAAAGTGCTGCAATGCCAATTGAGGAGAGCTTTATCAAAGCTGGAGCCCTGTACGCCACATTTGCACATCTGCCCGGACGCTGCTCTTAAAGGAACCATGTGTGGACTGAATGTTATGTGAAGGGAACATTCAAATATGATTCTTCAAATGTTCCCACTTTTCCATGCGTAAAGTAGATTTCATGAGACTCGTTGAAGAAACGAAGAAGCCGAAGTGTGTGAAGGTTCCTCTCTTCTTTTGAAAAATTTGGCTCCTGAAAACTGAGACTTTTGAGTCAGCTGATCGAAAAATTATTTGCTTACAATGTACTGAAATGTAAATAACCCAAAATTTTTGGTTGTGAAGATTTGGAAATTTGGATGATGGTCTACAAGTGACTCAAAATAGCTTGCCATCTCACGTATCTGTAAAATAAATCATATTACTGACACTTAAAGAAAGAAACCTCACCTTGTTAACATATAGACGGAGGCTTTCAACACCGCAGAGACGTAGGATAAGCCATATTTTGAGCGCTTTGAAACGGCGACTTAAGTGGAGACCCCAGTCCCTTTGGTTTGCTATAGTCGCTAAACGGCTTATGGAGAAGAACCTCTTCAGATTAGACTCTGAGCTTGCCTCTAGATTCTTAAGTACGCAGGATTGGCAGCAAATGCGCCTTTGTCGCGATCAGCTGGTGATCTGCCACCGAAGAGATCACGCATCGATTTTGGCGCGGCTATTGGCGTCTCGGACGTCATTCGAAGTCCGAGCCTCACCGGCGGTCGGTGAGCCGTCTTCAGTGATCCTTTTTTTCCATTTCCTCTTGAACTCACCACGATCTCGTTTTTTTTGCGACTTTTGTCCTTGTTCTCTGTTTATTGTTAATAAATCTGTGTTTTATTCTTTCGAGTAAGGCTCTCGGCGGTTTCGGCAGTAATCGTATCAGAATCTCACATCTTTGTAAATTTTCTGTTCGCGGGTTCAAATAATTGATAATGTAGCAGAATGAAGCAGAAATTTGCTAAGATCGATGTTAATAGTATGAGCGGCTTCTAAACCTTCTCTGAAAAGTTCTAATAATGAGTAAAGATGAAGATAGTGACAGAACTAAAGAAAAGAGAAAAACTGGATAGATTTTGACCATGTCAAATGCGTACCCAATCAGAGCAATTAGATCATTTCAGAATAATTCTATATTTGAAGCAATGTTAGCATATTTTTGGCAAAGGTCATAGTGGAAACTTTTTTCAATTTTTTTGTTTCAGCTTATAAAGAAACTACACCATAACTGCGAAGCATGTTTACAGTAAATCCAAATCAAAAGTACCACCTTCAGTCATAGAGTTACTTTTAAACATGTTTATTCACATATCATTTGGGCCTCAAATTAGTTTTCTGGTACTTCTGCATCTCACAAGGAAAAAAAGGTTGGTCGAAGTGGCCTTTTGCAATTAGATGTATGCTGTTTTAGAGCTTGGAACGGTGATTCCAAATTTGCTTTCGCTATTTGTTGGGCGAGGAGTTGCGAAGGTCTTTGTGAGTAAAAATTCAAATACAGAATTAATGTAAAATCAGTTGTAACATTTTTTTAGAGCTTAATTGGTAATCGGGTCACTCGGTGCAACAAATATTCTTGATCCAAATACACCAACTCGATGCTGCCTCATTTGAACATTAGGAAAAGGTTGCGATTGATTTTATTGCACTGAAATTTTGACTCACAAAAACTTTCATAACTCTACTTCCAGAAGCCCGCAGCAGATAGCAAAGGTATATTTGGAATCAGCGTTGCAAGCTCTACAAGAAGGTTTACATCTCATCTGAAAAGGCCACTTCAGCCAAGCTTCCTCCCCTCGTCAGACTATTTAAGCTTTTCTTTTCCTTTTTTTTTGCAATGAATCGTAGCGCACCGATGTGATTGCCATTTTGCTACGCTGTGAATGGTGTTATGTTTTGCATTCTGCTAGCCTGTGTTGTTGGTAATGTTGTTTATATGAAATGCGCGGATTTCATCACAACCTCTCTCTCTAATTGATTGATTGATCAAACTTACAAGGGAACCGTGTTGAGTCAAAGTGGCCTTTCCAGATGAGACCCATACTGCTTTGAAGAGCATTAATCGGTGATTCCAAATCTGCTTTCCAAATCTGCCAAGCGCCTCTGAACGCCGAGTTATGACCGTTCTTCGGAACGAAAAATGAATGCGGAATTTAGGTGTAATTGATTGTTACAATCTTTCCAGCGCTCAGATAAAGCAATGTTAAGTATTAGCATATTAGATAACGTGTATCCATTGATTAAACAGGTCTGATAGTTGACACTAGACCATTTGAGCAAATTTGGGCGATTTGTTTCAGTTTTGCGTTCAATTTTTTGACCTAAAAAACGAGCATAACTCGGCGTCCAGAGGCGCTTGGCAGATTTGGAAAGCAGATTTGGAATCACCGACTAATGCTCTTCAAAGCAGTATGGGTCTCATCTGGAAAGGCCACTTCGACTCGACACAGTTCCCTTGTTACGCTACGTCGCGATACTTCGGCTCTACAAAACTCCCTCCAGCATAAGCAGCATCAACGTGTAGCCACGTTCCATATCTCAAAAAAGGCATGAATATAAGAAAGTAACGTTTATTCTCAGATCATCATGTGACTGTAGACATACCAATCAAACGTCTCTAACTCACTTGCTCGCAACAGGACTTATCGTTGTTAGTTTGTCACAGGAAGCGGTTGGAATTGTTCCTAGTGTACAATGAATGAAGCAAGATCAGATCTCTTTTAAGATCCTGGAAACTGATAAAAAAATAAACAGCTGCTTGTATGCATTGTTCTAGTACCTTTTCGATGCGTTCTTCTATTTGCTCCCCAGTGATGCCCCACAGATTCTCTTCCTTTGCTTGTATCGGACGACATCTAAGCATTGCAAGTTTGCAAGCTTTTTCAATACAAGAATGCGCCTGAACACAATGTGAAGACGACGCGAGAAGTTGTTGGATAGTTAGATTTGAGAAGAAACCGTAAATCTGCCTAACATTTTCAAGAATGGCTAAAACGTTTATTCGAAGAGCTCTTTTGAAGTTTCAACTTACATCTTTGCTGCAGTATACAACTAATCGTTTTGCAATATCATGTATTGTATCGTATTTCACTACTCCACTACGTCGCTGCTCTTCAACTACCTACCTTTCAATCAATATTTCTAAAACATTTTTCTTTTTTATTTAAGTTAGGCTGACTTGATTTATCTTCCACTGTCTCGCAGCAAGAAGAGCACAAAAAATTGCATCCGACGCTGATTCTGTCACTGTTCCACCGCCTTGGCTAGATTCAGGCGAGTCCTGTAACGAGTCTTTTTACTTATCGCCAATTAGCTGGTTTTCCGGTCCAGCCCGGGTTATCGTTTAGAATGGCCAGAAACCACACTTCTGTCTTTCTTCCTTCCCGTCTTTTTTTTGGTTCAGCCATATTCTCCTCCCCTTCTTGCAGTCATACTGCACTGAAAGCTCCTCCCCCTTACTCTCCTGCATGAACTTACCTCACAAAGGTTGACTAGAGTAACTGCTTTTTCTACAACTCAGATTTGAAATGGACTTTACTGCATTGTTCACATCAAAATGTGCAAGCGGTTTGACAGCGGCTGATAAGTGTTCATTTTTTGTAAGGTGCCAAAAATCAAAATTCAATAGAATCCCGCGAATTGCTTCGAAAGATAGCTCAAAACGATCTACGAGGTCGGAAACATATGTGTGCAAAATTTCCGCTCAATCGGTTCACACGCAAAGGAGTCTATAAAAAACATACGGTCAAAATTTGCACATACTCTGACTTTTATATTTTTAAGATATTTGCTTTTTTCGTGTGGAAGTCAGCCCAACTGTAGATTTACTATCGCTGAGCAAACAATGCATTTTAAGTACGTAGTACGACGTAAATTCACATAACTCAGACAATTACGGCGAGCACCCGCCGGCCACCCACGGGCGACGCCACGCCCATCCCGAGGGCGCGCCGATAAGTGCCCGGTAAGCGCCCGATAAGTGCGCAATATGCTCTGGGGGGAGGGGGGGGGGGGGTGTGGCAGTGCACCTCAGTGGGACTAATAGGTTCACACCTTTCATTCTCAAAATTTCGCAACATCTAAACCACCATAACGAAGTTTCGGAAAGTCATCAGACCAAATAGTCCAATAGGGCTCATCCGAGACACTACGGGGCGCTATGTATCAATCGCACGATCGTGAGATCGTGTGCTCGCTACCGTTGAAAACAGCCCAAGATCTGGTGCGAGCACACGATCTCGCGATGTATCAAGCGCACGATCTTGCCACATGATCGTGTAGGAGCACACGATCTGTCGAGATCGCAGCTACGCGACAGATTGTGTGCTCTCTATGTGACGTGTGAAGTGCATGGTGTCGCCACGTCCAATGTTTTCCGTACGCCAATTGTGCACATGTTCGGACAAGAGCGTGCATTCGGCGTCTCCCATATCATTTTCCAGCGGATGGTTATGCTTGCTCATCAACCATTTTTCTGATGTAATAGTCAGCATGACAGCAAAAATTACTTTTTGTAAGTTTCATCCACACTTGCACTTGTTTTGATGCAGTAAACGTTAGCACTAATAATTTTTTTCTTCATTTTCTCTCATTAGAAGTTTATGACTACTTTTAGAAACGGATACATGTGGAAGGTGAGTTTTTGCTGAAGATTTCTTTATCTTTTCTTCATTCTTCTTTCTGTATGTATGTGGAGAGACTTATTTAGCATATGCTACTGTTAGCAGTGTTTTTTTACTTATCCACAATGTTTTTATTTACAGAAAGTTCTACGAACGCTTCTGGGTGAGTACTTCAATTTTTTTGCTTACGCAATAGAAGAAGTTTATTCTAGAGAGTTTTTTATGGTACTCATGAAGGGCTTTGCCGGATCGTGGAGGTCGGCGAGTTGTGTCTACTGCTCGATTTAACTCTCCGTTTTCTTTTTTCTTTCAAATGTTTTTGTGTAATCAGATGTGAGCTCCCTGATATCTGCACAGATATTGGAAAGTAAGACATTTGAGTTTTTTTAACGCCTTGTGGCATTTAGCGTTAGAGATGGCTGCAAACTCACCGACCTTCACTCTAGCAAAGCCCTGTACACTGTCCTGTTTGTTAAAGTCGCGTGTCAGCGAGATTCGCTAAAGTCCTTGGTCCTTCAAGCATGCAATGCATCGCCAAGCAGAATGCCGACACATTACGGCCCTTCACTTCATTCTGGAAAGTGAGGTCCGTTATGTTAGGCAGAGGCAGGCATTCATTTTTCTTTACGTCCGAGTTTTTGCATGCATTTGTGATAGAATAAAATGTGCGGAGGAGGGAAAAAAGCTACTTCCTTTCATGATAATCTCAGACAGCCTTGGTTTGCTTTAAGGGTTTTGTTCACGTAGATCCGTTGTGGAAAGGAGGCTATTTCTATAATTCGATGTTCTCAAAGCAGACAAGTTGGTGGAAAACCGCGCGGAGGCCCTGTCCAAACCATAGGCCTTTTGAATTTGTGCGATTAGACCAAAACGCACCACTGTGAGCTATTTCTTATCTCTAGTCGGATGAAGACTCCGCAGATCAGCTTCGCAGACATTTTATTTTATGATTAACTTTATTTTTTTTCTTGTTTTTGTGTTTAACTATGGGAGAGAGGGTTCAACGTACCATCGACCCCAGATTCAGAAAGAATTGTAACGTTAGGCCTCGGACAGAGTCCACGCGATTTGATCGCCGCGATTCAATCGCTACAAGACTGTTACGAGTTCATTGCATGCCGATCAGCTTGCATTTCCGTTGTGATACTTTTCCAGCCCATAATTCTTGAATGTAAAATGAAAATGAATGAAAATCGCGGCGATTAAATCGCGACGATCAAATCGCGTGAACTCTGTCCGAGGCCATAGTGGAGGCTCTGATTTCTTGTTGTAGAGTTTTTGTCTTCATAATCTGATTACGTCCTAACTTCCATTGTACTATGATGAGCATTTACAGCAAATTTCTTTTCTTATTATTTTGCCTTGCCACATTTGTGCGTTTCTCAACCATGTCAAATTTGTGAGTATTTAAGTCTTGCCGATTGCATTTGTCATAACTTCTTTGTAGTTTGCGTTACGGGCCCACAAAATTTGTCCTTAACTTTATGTTTGGCTATATAAAACTAGTGTTGCCAGTGTAAGGCCTCGGATAGAGCTCACGCGAATTCATCGTCGCGATTCATCGCGACAAGACAACTGTAACAATATTATTGTATACCGATCTTCTTGCGTTTTGGTTGTGATAGTTTTCCCACACGACCTAATCGTGGCTAACTATCACAATCGAAATACAAAAAGATCGGCATGCAGTGAACCAGCAATACTTCGCGATATAACGTGGCGATGGGATCGCGTGAACTCTGTCCGAGGTCTAAATGACCTACCCTGTGCAGTCTCATTCTTCCCTAGCGTTCCCGTTATTCAGTGATTACGTTTTCTTTCGCATCGATTGCAGTGGGACGACTCAATAATCGATCAGCGGGATCTCTTACGAATGAGACTGCAAGGCTGATTATCTCAAACTGAGGGCAGCAGGCAGCGGTAACCTTAGTAGCCCTTGTAACGTCGGTAACATTGTGGCATTTTTGTAGCATTTCGAAAGTATACTTGAAGCCGTTGTTAGATTTTCTTTATCGGTATTGAATCTGCCAGGCTTAATGAGCTGCAGAGGTTGTACCTATCTTGAAAAGTGTTTGATGAGCAATTCGAATGAATCAGGCAGTGATGTGACTGCCTGATTTCACCACCCATTTTGTGAGTGGCACACCCCATTTTCACAAACGCGAGCTCCAAAAAGTCGCAAACTCGACACTTAAAAAAAGATAAACTCTCCACTCCTGCATGAAGTTTCGAAGACGGCATCCAAGTAAAAGTTTCTTGTAAGTGAAGGAAGGGGGGCGTTTTCGCATTTGAGCTCTTCGCGGCGCTTTTCGGCGAAATTACACGGGACCAAGCAAAAACAAACCACATTAAAAAAGTTGGTACATTGAAAAGATCTATCTATGACTTAATAATAACGGGCTAAGGGTTGTTTACGTCTGTTTGTCTGTGTGTCTGTGTGTACGTCTGTCTGTCACGAAATTCATAGAGCGAGTTGCAGCAAATGTAGTGCGCTGAAAATTTGGTCAAACCACCTTGCTAGCATCTAGGCCAATCTTGCAAAATTTCGTGGGGATCCGTTGGGTTGATGCTAAATTTTGCGTCAAACGGATCCACACGGCTTTAATCCGGCAAAACTAAGTTCAGATTCAAATTTTTTGCAAAGCCATGATTTGCCTGACAAGTAAATCTGCGCCCCATAAATTATAGAACAAAAAGTTTGCTTTTCTAAGAAAACAGCGCCAAAAAGTGGTGATCGCGTCAATAGTCGATTTGGCAAGGTTTTACCTAAAAATTGGGAAAGATTTTTACACGAGAATGTAGCTCGAAGTGACTATTATCCTTATGACCTACCAAGCCAAAACAAATTCAGTAATCCATTCAAATTCGCAGGTGTTCCTTTGCGAAAAAGTTTTCTTTCTAAAAATTACCGATCTTACGTGGGGATGCTTCAAAAATGAACAGTTGTTTACAATTTATTTATGATGTTCAATATCGCGTGGTAAGTTTCAAAGTCATCTTTTTGCGAACATGAGAAATGCATACGGATAGGAGAGCCAGTGCGAACCTCCGCGAAGCGGAGGTGACGCACTGGTTAACTATATAATGTAATGGTATGAGGAAGGAATAAGCTTTTAGATAGCCATTCACAGCTGAAAATTAACGGTGACATACTCCCGCACCCAAATTCACTTTGATATTCTATTTGACATTTACTTGAAACGTCGAGGTAAGAGTACTAAATCCACGAATTCTCGTGCAAAACTTACATTTACAAAGTTCAGGTTAGAGGAAAATTCCTGTATAGTGAGAAATATGGGTGATCTACGAAGGAAAAAGCAGGAAAGGAGCCTTGAAACTAAAAAAAATGCAATGCGATGCGCGAACGGCTGTCACAGTCGGGGTCAGCAGGCGTTTAGAATATGCGCCAGTCGCCAGTTCCTGGCGCACACGGACACCGCACATCGTGTAAATACACGATCTTGCGCACACATTGATGCATCGCGGGCGTCTCGGTAGATCGTGTGCTGGTTCAAGATCGTGTAATAGCCAGATTTTGAACCAGCACACGATCCTGAGATTGATACATAGCACCCCTGATGAACAAGAACCTGATGCTACTTGACTTTTGATTAACGACGCAAACGTTGAGGGCCACTATTACCACGACGTATCTCACGCGAGTAGCGTTCTCTCCTATAGCATGTATTAATTGTGCGGTCATGCAAGACCCGGGGCCCGTCGGAGTGACTCTGTCGGACCGTGGCTATAGGACCGGGGCTTGCCCGAGAACTCATATGCAAAGCATCCAGTAAAGCTCGGGGCTCGCCCGAGTGCTTTTCCTTGGACCGCTTGTGTTGCAATAAAACTTTCAAGGCCCGCGGTTTTTCCTTAGCGATGACATTAAGCCGCGGGTCGCCAAGCAAATAATTCTAGGGCCGCAGATGGTCATTCCAAGAATCCAACGCCCGCGCACCGCCGAAAGTCACTGTTAGGGGCCGCGGGTGCTCGCAGTAATTGTCTGAGAAGAATGATCCGAATCTGAGCCTCTAGGTGACGTTCGCAAGCTGTGCTTCAAACGCCTATGTTTTGTGCTGTAAGAATGCAATCTTACAACGACCTGTCTTACATATGCAAGAGGTGCATATTTGTTATAAGCGCCCGTGCGGAACGTGCCCTTTCGGCGACAAGTAGTCCCCTAAGCATTTGGTTTCAACCAGATGGGTAGAAACAATTCAATTGCAAAGAATATGACGAGCAGCGATACGACGATATAGACGACTTTAGAATCTGGCCTAAACTTTTTTTTATTAGAGACACGTTGGGCTGTGTTGCCTGAAAACCAACTTCTAGCTATCAATGCTGTCAATGCAATGTGAATTTCGCCTGCTTGAAAGTAAGCGCCATCAGGTGCATCATAAGGAGCCATATGGTAATCTGGCGCCATACGTGCATGGACAATCCACAATCTTTGTGGCAGAGAATAAGATAAATTCATATTGTTGAAGACAAGTTGTCAAAATTATTAACGACAGAAGACAGGCCATCAATCCTTTGCGCATTTGTTGACCTCTAAAAATTATAAGCGTTGTGTAACTTGAGTTCTAAAGCATAATCTTTCGTATCGTAGTTGGTGTCGAGCGCGCTTACTACAAGAAAAAATCATTCATCACAAATAGAATATTTATTTATTTATTTATTTAATACGCACAAGGCGCGCCCATACAACAGAAGAACGAAGCATCAACCAAACAACGAACAGCAAAAAAAAAATAAAACAAAAAGGCAAACTCCCCACTGAATCAGTTCAAGTCCACTCCGCAAAACCTTTCTGGGAATGGAAAGGGAGCTTGTTTAGACATAGATGAAGTCATCACAGGTATAGAGGTTCAATGGAGTCTGTCTCATGCCCCCTGCTCTTAGCAAAAAATGCTCTTACTCAACATAAGCAATTGTATATGTTGGAAGCAGGTGTATTGGTAGTAATATTGATAAAACCCGCCCAACCAAAACTCTGGGGAGAGAACAGAACTCCGATAGAAGTTGCACAATGCAAAAGTCTCAAGCCCAAACAAGCTAGCCCAAGCATAACTGAGGTGATAAGACGGAACCAGACCCAAACTAACGCGTGAGGCATGAAAGTTTTAGAAGAAAACCAAACAGAGAACGGCAATGATTTGAGCCAAGGTCCAATGAAGTGGTAGAGTCTGATCTAACATAAACTACAGTCCAACAAAGCATTCGTTCCGCATCCCTCGACCACAGTCAGCCCAGAGTAAGGATCAACATGAGACAGGTAGAGTCGCGTGCCATGAAACCGTCATACGAAAAAGATAGTGAACCGCATGGACAAGAGCGAGAATCTAAAAAGAAGACTATTGAGAGATGAAAAATAAAATAGAAGAAAAAGAAGGAAAAAAGAAGTGCAAAGAAGATTAAGCCTCAGAACCAAACCGTGGGAGAACCAAAACAACCATAAGCACTAAAGACCTAAACCCTAAAAGAATCTGAACACAAATATCAGAAACGCAACGCAATCAAGAAGAAGTATCACTGCTCAAAAGTTGAGACAAATCAGCTTTTCTCAATTTTTTCTTGAAGGCTTCACCGCCGCGCACTGACACAATATCAACGGGTAAGCGCTGAAGCCATCTTGCACAGCGGAAGAACAGGTAGTTGAATATTCCAGACTGATGTTGCTTGATAGGTCTATAATGCAGATTGAAACCACCTAGCCTCGTACCAGCAGTTTGAAGATCCAAAATTTGCTTGCTTTCAATTTTATTTCCATGCGAAGAATACGAAAACAAAAGACGAGGTCGGATATCATGCGTCTAATTCTGAGAGGAGTCAAGCCCAATTTATTAGAGCGTAGGTGACAGTCTGGAATATCAACTAGTGTCCCACCACTCGCACGACGAAAGACCAGACGGGTAAAAGTGTGCTGAACTCTTTCAATCTTCATTATATCTTTTTTTCGGGAAGGAGTCCAAACTTGCGAACAGTATTCAAGATGTGGAATAACATAAGCTTTGTATAACCGTCACAATACTATAGGATTACGAGTTTGTATATTGCGAAAGATTGTAAATAAAGTGGCATATGCCCTGTTGACAATTGAATCAATATGCTTAGAGAATTTCAAATCACAATCGATAATAACTCCCAGATCTTTCACATCTTGACAAGCAGTCATCTCAACTCCATCAATTTTATACGAAGTTGAGGAATGCTTGCCAAGATGGAGGAAGGAACATTTTCTTGGGTTTAGAGAGAGTCCATTCTGAGACGCCCAAGCACACATTTTATCAATCGATGACTGCAAAGCATCATGAACTGTGTCCAGGTTGTCTTCATCATAGGGTGCATATATCTTTGTATCGTCCGCATAGATTTGTACGTGTACATTCAATGTTTTTAAAGCATCAGGTAGGTCCAAAGTGTATACCAAAAATAACAAAGGAGATAGGACAGCTCCCTGAGGAACTCCACTGGGACAGGGAAATTTTCTGGATTGTTCATGACCAATCTTTACCGTCATGCATCTATTGCTCAAGTAAGACTCAAACCAAGTTAGTAGGTTTCCCGAAATTCCGATATTCTCTAGTTTGCAAAGAAGCAAACGGTGAGGTATTCTATCAAAGGCCTTGGAAAGGTCGAAGTATATAATATCCACAGATTTTCCCGAACTCAAGGCTAATTTCCAATCAAAAACGGCCTCAGTAAGATTAGTTGCAGTTGACTTGCCTGGCACAAAGCCATGGTGCTCGGGCGAAACAAGATGGAACCTCTCTAACCAAAGTAGTAATTTGCTTCTAATAATTCTTTTCATAATCTTGATGGGCACAGAATTATGGCTAATGGGGCGAAAATCGGCAACACTTTCAGCTGCGGAAGTTTTAGGCACAACTGTAACAATGGCTTCCTTCCAAAGGGAGGGAATCTCACCAAAGTATAGGGAAAGATTGAATATATCAGCAAGCGGTTTGGCAAG